GGAACGCGGATTCTGGTGCATACAGGATCCTGGTGTATACATTGTTCGTCGTTTCCCTGGGAAAGCGGGGGAAAGGTATACGCCACACCGCCCCGACGTCGTCCCTGACCCTTACAAAGTCGTGGGATTGAAAAACAACCCGCCACTGCTAATGTATGTGTTCCACTTTGCGAGTAAGATCACGTTCAAATCCCAACGTCAACTTGTGCCACAGTCGATTCTTAGAGTGTGCGAAGGAGGGTGGAAATGGGCTGGGCCCGCTGACTCGCTCGACCTTGCTCACCTGACCCCTCCTTCTGCTCCTTCGCCCCTCCGCCCCCGCCCCCAGGGAAAGAGCATGAGGAGGGGGGAAGGAGGAACAATATGATGATGATGGTGGTGATGATGCTGATGATGATGCTGATGGTGATGATGATGATGATGCTGAAGGTGATGATGACGCTGAGGATTATAGGTGGCGCATTGCAGGAAGACTGGCGATGAAGAAGACCAGCATGTTGAAATGCTGTGACGGCGAGCCGCAACCGCGCGGTGCTGCCGCAACGCATGCCCGGTGGACCGACACACCCTGTTGCGTCTGCACCCCGCCGCGCGGGTGGGACGGCCAAAGGTGACTGGAGATCGACTCCAGCCAGGCAGTACGGGCCCGAGGACTGCACGATGCACGGCGAGTGTACAGATGATGACCCACTGAACGCCATCACCCAAGAAAGGAGGGGCTCCGGAGCGAGCGAGGTGACCGCGAATGCCGCCAACCTCCGCGATGCATCGCGCCACGGTGAAGCAGGCCACAATGGGGCACCCTGTGATGAAGCACTCCGTGATGAAGCACTCCCCGATGAAGCGCTCCGCAGTGAAGAACGCTCCCCGATGACGCGCTGCCTGGTGAAGCACCCCGCTGCGGAGCACTCGACGGCGAGGCCCGCCAGCAGAAGCACGCCGCGATGAAGCACTCCACGAGGAAGCACTCCACGAAGAAGCACTCCCCGATGAACTACTCTTAAGTCGGGCGTGTCCCCCTTCAGGGGGATTTTCGACGAAAAAAATATTCAAAACATACTACAAAATGATCAAACATGATTTTTAAAAAAGTTCCCAGACAATTTTTTACTATTTTTGAATATTCCCCCTGCAGAGAGACAGGTCCAACTTAAAACTACTCCAGGGTGTAATGCTCCACAATGGAGCACATCCCGACGAAGCGCTCGACGAGCCATCTTTTATGCAGCAGAATGGTTAAGAACGTGGTGTTGCCCGTGGAGGACACGCCGGTGCCAGACTGATGGACGTATACATCAGCACTCGAAGAAGCACTCCGCTGCGTAGCACTCTACAAAGGAGCACGCCGCAATGAAGCACGCGCCGGCGAAGCTCACCAAGATGAAACACGCCACAAAGAAGCGCGCCTCCGTAACGCACGCTTCCCTGGGGAAGCTCACCGCAATGAAGCCCCCCACGAAACCCTCGCCGATGAAGCACGCCTCCGAAGAAATCCCTGAGGAAGCACGCCACAATAAAGCACGCCACCCCGATTAACCCCCCAATGACGCACTCCACGACTACGCACGCCTCCATGAAAAACGCGTCCGTAGAAGCACGCCTCCGTAAATCACGCCACGATGAAGCACGCCTCCTCTCAAGGACGCCAGAATGAAGCGGCCTTCGATGAAACCGTCCATGATGTAGCACTCCACGATGAAGCACGCCTCACCGAGAAGCACACCTCCGCGAAGCACGCTACGATGGAGCACGCCGCGGTGTAGCACGCTCCGATGAAGAACGCATGCCGTCGTACTCCCCGACGAAGCGCTCCACCGTGAAGCGCGCCGCGATGAACCACGCCATGATGAAGCACTCCGCGATGAAACACTCGAAAACGCACACCCCGATGAAGCCCCCCTCGGATATGAATGGCCCTTGCAATATGCAGGCGGACCGCGCAAACCTGGTTCGTACACGTCAGAGAACAGCAGGGCCATTGAGATGACCAAGTCGTGGTTTGAGAAACACGGGGCAGGATACGTACGCTAGTAAGGCAGCAAGGCGGTACAGGCCAAGCTCACTGTGGACATCCATACCACTGGGCACACCGAAAGTGCGCGAAGCCGAGGCTCTGACAGATGGCGAAGACACCAGCAAGAGGAAAACAAAGGTGCACAGGAATACGCCGGGTAACGCCGCAAATTGGTCGGGAGGACGAGATTAGACGCCCCACGATGATGCACGTCCCAAAGGACCACACCATTTCGCATATAATGCTGGTCGTCAACTCTGAGAGCGCGAGAGTGCACAACAGGACACCACGAGGTAGATCACACGACGCTGCAGACCCTGGCGGACGGCGAGCAAGACGCCGACCCAGCAGAGTTGGCTTCTCACACCCAATAGCGCGACGCGCGAAAAAGGCGCACCACGTGGAAGGAAGAGACGAACATGGACAGAGACAAGAACAAGAACCGCACCTCCACAGTTGCCGAAACGCCAGTATCGAAGGTGGATGACGATGATTATCGGTGGCGTGTTGTAGGGAAACTGGAGATGAAGAGGACCAACACGTTGTTGGGCTGTGACGGGGGGCCGCAACCGCGCGGTGCAGCCGCAACGGATGCCCGATGGTCCGACACACCCTGTTGTGTCTGCACCCCCGCCTCGCGGGTGTGAGGGCCACCGGTGATTGAAGAGCGGCTTCAGCAACGCAGTACTGGCCCGAGGACTGCACGAGACACGGCGACTACAGAGGATGATGATGATGATGATGATGACGATGATGATGATGGTGAACATGATGATGATGGTGATGATGCTGGTGATGGTGATGAGGAAATGATGCTGATGATAATGGTGATGGTGATGGTGATGGTGATGGTGATGCTGATGATGCTGATGATGATGATGATGATGATGATGATGGTGGTGGTGGTGGTGGTGGTGCTGATGGTGTTGGTGATGGTGATGCTGATGTCGGTTTGTTCGTATTGATGGCGATGGTGATGGTGATGGTGATGGTGACGGTGGTGATGGTGACACCGATGATGCTGCTGATGATGGCATTGATGACGATGCTGATGATCCCGCTCTCCCAAGGGGGGGCAGCCGCCGACTCGCTTCGGTACGCCTGAGACAACCCTCCACCCGCTGGAGACCTCGAACGATCTCTGCGTGGCAGGGAGGAGGGAGGGCCGAGCTCTGCCTGCGACCCCCCTCTGGTGGGGCGCAGGCCTCGCGTCCTTTAGCTTCAGGCCATCCCTGTGGCGCTGCGAGGCGGGACGCTCGGGGCAGGCCTCGCTTAGCTGCACTACTCGGGCAGAGAGTGTGAAGCATCCGCAAACGATGCCGAAAGCTACACTCTCAGCACGGTGCACTTGGTGCGACTCATGAGACTGTACGTACCACCAGGGGGCAACGCTTCACCGACGCCCTCGCCACACTCGGTTGCCCCCCATGGAGTTGTTGAGCCGTGGGGGTCCTCGGGGGCCTGGGCTCTGCTGCTGCTGCTGCTGCTGCTGCGGGCTCCTGTCTGCTCCTGCTGCTGCTGCTGCGAGCCCCCTGCACCTCCGACACTCCCCGCGGCCGCCACAACCGCAATGCTGAGGCCTGCTGCCGCAGCGAGCGCTTCCTCTGGGCTGCCTTCGTGCCCCTCCCCACCCGAGGCGAGAGGCGGAGGGGGTCGGGAAAAAGGCGGGGAAGGGGGTCCCCCGCGGCAAGCAGGAGGTGCAGCACCAAACATCAACATTCGAGGGCAAGCGGAGGGAGGAACCGTGTCGGAGGCACGGCCGAGCCGCCCCGCACAATCCGCACGGCGCGCGGGCGCTCCGGACACAGCCCTGAATCGTGCATGGAACCGCGGCGAGGCCCGGCGCCTATAAGCCATCCGCGGCTCGCAGCCATCCATCCCCCTCCTGAGCAGCTAGACCGACCCATCGTCCCAGACTCACCCCCCACTCATCAGCCGTGTAGGCCGCCTCGACGAGGGCGGGCAAAATGGGGTGGCATTGCGCCCCTTCCTTGGCCCGAGCGTCAGCACAGCGGTTCCCCGCGCGCTGCCATGCTGTGATGGCGCCGCGGTCTACGTGGCCCAGAAGTGCGTGGCCCTTCACTTTGGTGATCGTGATGGCTTCGATCCCCACGTCGTAGGCCCTGGTCCAGAAGAGCCTCCACACCTCACGGTACGGGCGGTTCCAGTCCGTGCACCAGTCTTCGCCCGCCTCCCAGCCGTCGAGCAGGAGCTGGGAGTCGGTGATGGTGCTGATGATGACGATGATGGTGGTATCGATGATGATGACGACAATACTGACGATTACGATGTTGATGATGATTATGATATTGACCATTAAGACAATTATAATGCCTGCGGTGATGCAGCTGCTGCTGATGATGGTGATGGTGATGAAGCGGGTGTTGCTGTTGCTGCTGTTGTTGGTGATGATGGTGGTGATGGTAATGATGACTGTGATTAAGATGATGCTGCTGATGATGATGGTGATGATGATGATGATGCTGATGATGATGATGATGATGATGATGATGATGATGATGATGATGATGATGATGGCGATGTCGATGATGATGGTGATGATGATGGTGATAGTGTGATTGTCGTGGTGGTGATGAGGAGAAGGAAGAGAAGGAGGGACAGCAAGATGAGGAAGAGGAGGACGAGGAGGAGGAGGAAGGAGAAGGAGGAGGAGTATGACAAGGAGAAGGACGAGGAGGAGGAGGAGGAGGAAGAGAAGGAGGAGGAAGATGAGGAGCGAGGAGGAGAAGGAGGAGGAGGAGGAGGAGGAGGAAGAGGAGGAGGAGCGAAGACGAGGAACGAGGAGGAGGAAAAGGGTGCAGGAGGGAGGAGGGGAGATGGTCCTCCATCCTCCCCTCCTCCTTCTCCTCCCTCCCTCCCTCCTCCCTCTCTCCCTCTCTCCTCCTCCTCTTCTTTTCTTCTTCTCCTGTCGACTCGCTCCTGCCTCCGAACCCGTCGCGCGAGGCGGGCTCGGCGTCGGCGCCGCCTTCGGGCGTCTGGATCACCCAGGTGCCGTCGGCCGCTGCGCCGCTGGTCCGGGGAGAGGGGCGGGCATCTCCCTCCTTCATTCTCTCCCCCTCCTCCCTCCTCTCCTCCTCCTCCTCCTCCTCCTCCTCCTCTCCTCCTCCCTCCCTCCTCCTCCCTCCCTCCTCCGCTCCTCCTCCTTCCTCCCTCCTCCTCTCCTCCCCTCCTCCTTCCTCTTCCTCCTCCTCCTCCTCCTCCTCCCCCCCTCCTCCTCCTCCTCCTCCTCCTCCTCCTCCTCCTCCTCCTCCTCCTCCTCCTCCTCCTCCTCCTCCTCCTCCTCCTACGCCTCCTCTTCCTCCTCCTCCTCCTTCGAGCTTCGAGCTGCGGGCCGTTGTCTCAGCGAGTGAGACCCTTCCTTCTCACCAGAGCGCCTGTGGGAAGGGCAACAAAATCAAGAGGTAAAAAGAGACGAGTGGTGGGAGCGACCGAATGGCGAGATGGGATGATCATATACACCGAAGGGGCGGCAGGGCATGCGAGGCTGTCTGTGACGGCGCGGTGCGCGTGCAGAATCATCCACAGAGCGGCCGGCAAGTAGTTCGATGGAACACTGTTTTTCGATCGTAGCGTACATCGCGGCCGGCATTTCGGCAGTATTAGACACACTTTAGACCATAAGACCGACAGATCCTCGCTCGATGCACTCCTAGCCAAGACAGAAATTGTGTCGACGCATGCATATACATAGAGAGAGAGAGAGAGAGAGAGAGACGACGACGACGACGACGACGACGACGACGACGACGACGACGACGACGACGACGACGCTGTACACATATGGATGTGTAGTATAAAAGCTTAGCTTCTATGGTCCGGAAATTCGCCAGCCCAACGGGCCAGAGGCGTGCTAAGATCTCCGGTAACTGCTCAACAATATTTCTAGTTCGCGCGCGCGGGGCGGGCCCTGGGGGTCCCCGGACGAAAAGTACCCCGGCAAGGTCCCGGCAAGGTCCCGGCAAGGTCCCTTTTCGGAGCCCAGGAGGGCTCCAAACGGTCCAAGAGAGGCCCGAGAAGCCCTCGAGACGGTCCAAGAGAGCTGGGAGACGCCGAAATATCACTCCCAAACGCCTGCGATGGCCTCAAGACGGCCCAACAGGCCTTCAAGACGCCCCAAGAGGTCCCTAAGCGGCGCCCCAAGAGGGCTCCCACAAGCAAAAATCGTCCCATTCCCTTCAGGAAAACGTGCATTTTTAACATATCCGCCTCTTCGTCTTTCACACCTTTCAAGGCGGTCCAAGAGGCCCCCAAGATCACCCCAAGACGGCCCGAGAGACCCTCAAGACCGCTCAAAGACGGCCCAAGAGCGCTCCAAGAAGGCCCAAGAAACCCTCAAGAACTCTTTTTCGGAGCCCAGGAGGGCTCCAAATCGGTCCAAGAGGGGCCCGAGAAGCCCTCCAGACGGTCCAAGAGAGCCGGGAGGCGCCGAAATATCACTCCCAAACGCCTACGATGGCCTCAAGACGGCCCAACAGGCCTTCAAGACGCCCCAAGAGGTCCCTAAGAGGTCCCTAAGCGGCGTCCCAAGATGGCTCCCACAAGCAAAAACCGTCTCATTCCCTTGGAAAACGTGCATTTTTAACATATCCGCCTCTTCGTCTTTCACACCTTTCAAGGCGGTCCAAGAGGCCCCCAAGATCACCCCAAGACGGCCCGAGAGACCCTCAAGACCGCTCAAAGACGGCCCAAGAGCGCTCCAAGAAGGCCCAAGAAACCCTCAAGAACTCTTTTTCGGAGCCCAGGAGGGCTCCAAATCGGTCCAAGAGGGGCCCGAGAAGCCCTCCAGACGGTCCAAGAGAGCCGGGAGACGCCGAAATATCACCCCCAAACGCCTACGATGGCCTCAAGACGGCCCAACAGGCCTTCAAGACGCCCCAAGAGGTCCCTAAGCGGCGTCCCAAGAGGGCTCCCACAAGCAAAAACCGTCTCATTCCCTTGGAAAACGTGCATTTTTAACATATCCGCCTCTTCGTCTTTCACACCTTTCAAGGCGGTCCAAGAGGCCCCCAAGATCACCCCAAGACGGCCTGAGAGACCCTCAAGACCGCTCAAAGACGGCCCAAGAGCGCTCCAAGAAGGCCCAAGAAACCCTCAAGACGGTCCAAGAGGCCCCAAAACGGCCCCATGATTGAGGTCCACAGGGGCAACCTGAACGGAAATTTTGAGCCTCCCGCCCAAACACGCCCCCGAAATGCCCCTACAAGCCCCCAAGTAGCCCCACAAAGCCCCCAAGAGAACCCCAAGAGGCCCCCAACAGGCCGCAAGAAAGCCCCAAGAGGCCCCCAAGAGACCCCCAGGAAGCTCCCAGGAGGCCCCCAAGAGGCCAGGCAGACCCCCCCAAGAGACCACCAAGAGTGCCCACTCAGAGCCATCCACGAGGCCTCCCAAAGTTCCCAAGAAGCTCCCACGAAGCTTCCAAGGGCTCCCAAGACCCCCCAAAAACCCGCGATGGCACAATACGGGCCGGCGGAATGAGCGAAGCGATTCAATGAAAGACTAAATCGGAGTGTGAGCATGCATATGCAGTGTATTATCTGTTATGCATACGTTTGTATATTTGTATGTGTGGATTACGCATCACGCACAGAAGCCAGGCAATGTATGTCCATGCGCATAAACCTATGTACGTGTATATGTATATACACGTGTCATATACATGGGCTATACGTGTAACTGTATTTGGTCACAGAACCGCACACACACTCACGCACTCTGGAACCACGCGCGCTTAGGTTATATGTATGTTTGTGTGTCATGCCATCACTTCCCTCTGCAATCCCACTCATGCGCGGCGATATCGATGGACGCGCATGTGCGTCTGCATCCGCCTGCATTATCCTCTCTCCCACGTGCGCACCTCCTCCCGCCGTGTTGAGGATGCCTTAGGGAATGGTTGCGGGAACCTTCGTGTACGTGCTATCTCCCGTATCGCAATTTCTGCTGAGATGTATTCCATATCTCTGGCGTTCGGCAATAACGTGCATACTGTAACCCTCACTCATTCCCTCCGCCTTTTCTTCCTCGCTCCTTCCCCTCCCCCTGCTCTCGCGTGTCGTGGGCTCCCTTTCCCTCCTCCTCAACCTCACCCTTGGCAGCAACACGTTCTGGCGGACGTGTTCCTGAACGCACTTAGCCTGGTCTCTTCGCGATACCGTGGGAAGGGCAACACCGCAGTGAAGCTCCGAAGGACTCCGACGCGTGCGGGATTCTAACACACGGCTTCTCAGCTCGGGTAACGGAGAACTCGTGCTCTCATCAGAACTTCCCCTTTGAATCAAAGTGAGAATTGCACTTATGTCCTTTGCGATATCATGGGAACGGAGACACTGTTGTGAAGCTCGGAAGGGGCTCCGACGTGTGCGGAATTTCAGCGCACAGACTCTGAGCTCGGGTAACCGAAAACTCGTGCTCCCACAACAGCTCCACAGACTGCCGAAAAGGACAGCGGCACTGCATGAGAACGACGTCGTGACACGGGCCACACCACGATGACGCTCAGAGGGAGCCCGAATTGCGAGGAATTTCGGCACGCGGCATCTCAGCTCGAGTGACCAAGAACTCGTGCCCCCACCCAAGTTTCGCACGTGGAACAAGGTACCCAAAAACGATAGCTGCACTGCACGAGTCGGTCCGACCCGTGGGCGGGTGATCCTGCGCTCCCTGTGTGGTCTTCTCGGGGCCAAGGAGCGCCCTCCAGGGCGCCGGTGGAGACGTTTTCGGCTCTGGGGCGTGGTGGAACCGGGGCCAGGCGGCTCTTGGGCGTTTTCGGCTCCTGGGCGTGGGACGTTTTCGGCTCTTGGGCGGGGGAGGGGGGGCGGCCTCCCGAGAGGGCGGGCCCCGGGCCTCCGCAGAGGGGCCCCGGGTGCGTCCGAGAAGGCTTCTCAGGGGCAGCGAGGGCCTCTATAAGAAGCCTCCCCCCGCCTTGTCAGAAGCCCCCGCCCCCCTCGCGTCACCCCCTTGTGCGCGCCCCGGCCCCGCGCCCCTGCGGGCTCCCTGGCGCCTCCGCGGGCTCCCCCCGAATCTCGCCCGACCTCCTTCCTCCGCCTCCCCCTCTGCGCTTCCCCCGCCGACTGGCCGAGGCCCCTCTTCCCCGGGGGCCCTCGGGGGCCGTCCTGGGGCGGTGCTGGTGGCCTGGGAGGCATCGTGGACGCTCTGGGGGCCGAAAACGGGCGAGCGAGCTGGAAAAATCCCAGTCCACGGATTTGCCTGCCGGACGAGGGGAGGCTGTCTGAGGAGAGCGAGGATTAAGTCGGGCGTGTCCCCCCGCAGGGGGATTTCCGACGAAAAAAACAAAAATACCCCCAAAAAAATCCAAAATGGTAAAAAAACAAAGAAAAAAAAAACTCAAAAAAAGTCCCCCAACTATTTTTTGACTATTTTTGAATATTCCTCCTGAAGAGGGACGGGCCCGACTTACAGCGAGGGCGAGGAGGATGGCGACAGTGGCGGCGGGCGCGACGACGGCGGCGGCTGCCGCGGCCTGTCCGAGCAGGCGTCCGCCGGCGAGGGCGGGCCGAGCGGGGAGTCCGTGGCGGGGGCGGTCGCGCTCGCGGGCGAATAACTCTCCAGCAGGGCCTGGCGGGGTCCCGGCAATGCCAAGGAGCCGTCCAGAACCTCCTCGATCCTTGTGGATGCCACGACAGTGGACACCCTAACAGTCCTACCCTTGAATCTAAAATGTGTTCCATATGTTCGACGAATGTTATAAACATGTTTTGAACATGTCTTTTATATGTTTAAAGCATGTTGAACACATGAGTTATACATCTCAAAATTACTTGGCAACATGCTTCCTCTCCATTGATCGTCCTCCACAACTCGATCCTCGATCCTCCCTCCTCCCCGAGCCTCGGCTTCCAGGAGGTGGCGACCCCCTTCTGGTGACACCCCCTGAGCACTGCCAGGAAGATTGGTTGGCATCGAAGCGGGAAGTCAGATCGAATCGGAATGTGCGTCGGATCGGCCGCGCGAGGACGCACAACAGCACCATGCGAGCATCGGACCGCATCGGATCGCATCTCCTCCTCCTCCTCCTCCTCCTCCTCCTCCTGCTCCTCCTCCTCCTCCTCTCCTCCCTCCTCCTCCTCCTCCTCCTCCTCCTCCTCCTCCTCCTCCTCCTCCTCCTCCTCTCCTCCTCCTCCTCCTCTCTCCTCCTCCCCCTCCCTCCCCTTCCCTCTCCCTCCCCCTCCCCCCCCCCTCCCCAGAGGGTCGGGGGGCCGAGAGCGCGGGGGGGGGGGGGGGGGGGGTGGCGGGCACCCGTCGGGACGGCAGAGGGGCAGAGGTCTCGTTCTTGTTGGCGGCGAGCGAGGGGAGGGGGCGGGCCTTCTCAGAAGTCTCCCGGCCAGGCCCTCCCCGCAGACGCAGAAAGCCTCTGAGAAGGCCCGAGGGCCCCTGCGAAGCCCCGCCGCCCTCTGAGGAGGCCTTCTCCTTCTCGCTCGCGCGCCGCCGAGCTTGGCTGTCCCAGAAGGGGGGGGGTTCAGTGGAGAAGGGGGCTCGCGTCTCGAACCGCTCGAGGCGCGGAGGCTGCGGCGGGAGCAGGAGCGGGAGCCGCGGCGGGGGCAAGGGGAAAGAGGGGGGAGGGAAAACAGTCACGAGGCAGCTCGCCGCTGCAGCCCCAGCACCACCACCCCAGACGGGGCGCAGCCCCCTGCGAACCACGGGGGCCTGCCACTCTGGGGCCATCAGTTGCGCAATAGGTTGCGCCATGGACTGCGCCATCGCTGGGCTGTGGCACTGGCTGCTGCGCCATTGGCTGCGCCACACACTGTGCCCTCGGCTGCTGTCAATAACGCAGCCTGCCGGTGGTTATGACATCGGTTGCCCCCTCGGCTGCCGAAACATCGAAGGCCTACTGTGAGTTTTGCTATAGGTGTCGTCCCCGGCACCCAACAGACAACGGCCTCCTAACGGGCGCGACCAGTCAGCCAGTCAGATCACCTGGCAGAAAAACAAGTCGGGCTACGACAGAAAATCTGAAGGGCGTGTGAGAAAGGGGATGAGGAAGAATGAAGGTGACGAGTATGGGCGGGGGGGATGGAGAGGGGAGGGGGGGCGAATAGAGGAGGGGGATGGCGAAGTGGAGGAAAGGGGAAAGGAAGAAGTGGAGAGGAGGGGGAGAGTGATGGGGGACTGGATAAGATATCGCGGGCGACCGCGATCTCGCTGTCATCGATCCTGAGATCCAATCCCGAACAGGACGGCGTGGGCCTCAACCGTAAAACAAGGACAATGTAGGCATCACGGTGCGAAGGACACGAGCAGGTGGCACCTCAGGTGAGGCAATACCCGATGTAATATTTCCAACGCTTTCGCGAGCCATCGTTAAAATACCCGCCCCACCCGTCAACATCTCTCTGGTCCTCCGCGACCCAACCGCAAAGCCGCAAGTTGGCCGCTCGCAGTTCCGCGTCGTGGGCTGCACGCTGGACGTAGACTGACCATGGCTGCAGAATTACGTGGAACTGGCGCATACATGTGGCTGCTGTGCGTTCTGCGTCTGGCGGTGCGGACGACGACCCGCAACATTCTTCCCTGTATTATTACGTCTCGGTCCTCGAGCTCACGCGTACTTGCGCACCCAAGTAGCAACCCATCCACTGTACTCTAGTGCGTTGAGGATGAGCTCGTCCATGGCGCATGGATCATGGCTGAACTGATCTGGATCTTTAACTCGGGCTGCCTGGGCGCTTGGCTCGCCCAGACCTGGTTGGGCGCTTGACCAACTCGAGATAAATATCCGATTCCGTTCCAGCGCGGGGCGAACCGAGAGAAGGTGGGCGAATCTAAACCGAAACGAAACGCATCGAGCCGGGACGGGCCGAAACTCGGCGAACCGAGACGTGACAACTGAGACAGGACACACCGACACAATACGGACCGAGACGGGGGCGGAACCGAGACTGAACGTGCCGAGGCGGGACAAATAGAGACTGGGACAAGCCAAGTGCGTTTCAAAACATATATTGGACTACAGGCAATGGCGATGCTGAACGTATCCTCTCGTTGTTTCCTGAAATATCGGACCTGGACCCGTGGCCCCGGCTCGAGAGATCCTTTGAGTTTGGGTCAAGAACGCGCGCAACCCATGTAAATGGTCACGGTTTCAACTCGTGGGCGAAACGAGCCTATACAACAGCATATGGTTTCAGCTCGCGGGCAGACGGAACTCATGTAATCACACATGGTTTGAGCCCACGGGCGAAAGGACCCCATGTGATCGGTGCGAGTCCACGAGCGAAGTCACCCATGTAAAAACAGATGGTTCCAGCTCCTCCTCCTCCTCCTCCTCCTCCTCCTCCTCCTGGAGCTCTACAGAGCTGGCCCCCGTTTGAGACTCCCTCGCGAGCCACTGCAAACGAGGCCCTCGCTCGAGACGCCCTCGGATCTTCGCCCACGGGCGAAGGAGGCCCGCATACAGAAAACAGCACGGGGCTTGCGCCCACGGGCGAGAAGAGCCCGTGTGAAGCCGCACGGTTTGAACTCGCAGACGACGAACTAACCACCGTAAGACACATGGCGTCAGCTCACGGGCGAAAAGGGACCCATGTAACAGACACGTGGTTTGAGCCCCCCCCCGGGCGAGAGGGACAACCAAACAAAAAACATGGCTTGGGCTCGCGATCTGCTGATGTCGCGATCTGCGTGAGAGTGGGCCCATTGCCAGACAGATGATGATTTCTGGAGCGGTACGCCCAGACGAATACCAGCGGCGACAAGTGATAGCCTCTAAGCTACACTCTATTGGCGAGGTTCGTATGTATAAACATGTGTACGGGTACACTGTATATACGTATGTGGAAATAGCTAACGAGAGGGAGAGAGAGAGAGAGAGAGAAACACGACAAACCAACAACAACAACAACAACAACAACAACAACAACAACAACAACAACAGCAACAACAACTAAGCAAAACACGTTCCACACACATGTATATGTCGTTACGAAACGACATGCGGATATGAAAATACAGAGACAGATAGATACGGGATATCGTATCGTGGCGGCGTGTGGCAGAGCTGTGTGAAGGCAGAAAGAGATATATATATATATATAGAGAGAGAGAGAGAGAGAGAGAGAGAGAGAGAGAAACAGACAAACAAAAAAAGAGAGAGGGAGAGACACACACATACACACAAAGGCACAGCTGCTTTACAGAGGTATGTACGACCTGCATGGTACGGCGCACAAACGGATAGGTCAGACGGGAGAGCGGACCGAATGTACTAATGTCGATCCGCCCCGCTTCACGCGACTTGGGCAACCACGGAAGCTGGCCTTGTCGCCGGACCAGTTGTCGCGAAACGATACCCTCCTCTCCACGGTGCGCTTGGGCTCCGACTTGTCCTGGCTCGTGGCGCTGGGCTCAGCGCCCTTCTAACGGGGACTCCACTAATGGGTACTTTGGCCAGTGACCCGGCGAACCCAATCCTCCCCGATGTGGGCAACGCTGCAATGCCAGAAAGAGGCCCTAAAGCTGCAACTTTCGGCACATCTCCAAAGTACCAATTAGCGAGTACCCGTTACGGTGCCGCTGACGGGCTTCCGACCGCCGCGCGCCGGATCTTGGAAATGACGCATCGCACAGAGCCCACGACACTACAAAAGCGAAATCTGCTTCTTGTCGATTCTCATTGGCAGGAGCGTTACCCCCAAAGCCGCCCCGTGCAAAATAGATGCCTCCCGCGCTCGCGCGGAGCTGGCTGTCGGGAACAAGACCCGGCCGCATGAGGCCAAGATGGGCCCAACTGTCCTTGTTTTCTCATGCCCCTATCCCGTATCAGTATATTTCCACTCTGCCACCTAGCTGGGCGATAGCTCGCAGATCTGGGTGGTGCCATCCTACCCACACGAAAACGGAAGTCGACACTCCCCCCTTAACATGGACATTCTGTCCTCTACGCTGTCAAATGCGCGGCAGGAGTGGAGCGGTGCGCCCATCGCGCGCGAAAGGGCGACATGCCACTCTCGCTCCGGCGCCGCGCCCATCTTCCCTGAGAACTGACCTCCCGCCTGGGGCCGGCGCACATTTTCAGCTCGCCAACCCGGCGACACCAGGGCCGCGCGCCAGCGGGCGATACACCCTGCGAAATGCTTAAGAAATCATGGGTTAAGAAATTCATAGTCTCAGAACTTGAATAAAAGCCCAACATTTCTCTTAAAATCTTAAGATTTACATTGAAACGTTAAGAATAATCGAGACTCTGGCCGAAAACTTAGAGTTTTCTTAAGCATCGCCTAAGGTGTACGTCCTGTTGCTCTCGCCTCGGCGCCGCGCAGGTTCACCCGCAGGAGGCGTTCCCGCCGGAGCGCGGCGCGCACGTTCCCTCGCCGAGGTCCTTGGGGAGCGGGGCCGCACGCGGGCAGGCACGCTGTCGTTCTCGCCCATGCCCCGTGCACACTTCGCCTGGAAGTGCCTCTCCCGAGAGGAGGAGGAGGAGGAGGAGGAGGAGGAGGAGGAGGAGGAGGAGGAGGAGGAGGAGGAGGAGGAGGAGGCACTGCGCCTCCCCGCTCTGGCGCGCGCGCGCGTTCTACAGTCGCCGAGCTTCGGGAAGCATGGGAGCGGCAGCGGGGCCGCGCGGAGAGGGGGTTCGGAGTGCGTCGCCTGCGGCCAGGCACTGCGCAGAGCTTGCGCCAGAGCAGCAGTGCTGCTTCGGAGCGTCGCAGGCTTCGTCTTCGCTGCGCTCGTCGGAAACGTCGGCCGCACGAGAAAAGGCTGCAGTCGGGGTTGACTGGGGAGGTCACGCGAAAGGACACAAGGCCCTTCCAAGGGCCACGCTGCCATAGGAGTGTAGAAGGCGTGGGTCGCGAAATACAGGACACAAAGGTACCCTTGATTTGGGTCGACCTACTAATCAACCTCGACTGCACATGGTGTTCTCGCCGCGTCACCCTGCAACGATTTTCTCAAGTTCCGCTCGCCCCCGTACATTGGCCCGTCTTTTCCCCCCTCACCAGGTCGTCGGAGGGATGACCGAGCGTGAGCGCCTTCCGCTTGCCAAGGTGGAACGCGCGCCAATCCAAACATCAAGAGGCGCCACCATTGGCTCATACGTCATGGGGTGGAGGGCGGGAAACCTGGCTACCTTGAACTCCTGATCGTACTCCTCCATCTCCTCCTCCTCTTCCTCCTCCTCCTCCTCCTCCTCCTCTTCCTCCTCTTCGTCCTCGTCCTGCTCCTCTGCTTCCCACTCCGCCTTTCCCTTCCCCCCCTTCTCCTCCTCCACCTCCCCTTCCTCCCCCTCTTCCTCCTCTCAAGTGCGGCGCAGGTTCGCAGCCATTTCCGTAGTCGGTTTGTTCTGGGAACCCCAGCCTCGTCTCCGCGTCAATGTGGCACCTGGGTGGTACCGGAGCGGCATCCTCGTCTTTGCGACGCTCAACCGGTTGGCGAAGAGGGACGGTTTCAGGGTCAAGCTACGCAGTTTTGTATTTTGTTCTGGCAGGGTGCTGTATTGCTGTTTGTAGGTTTCTCCAAAGCGACAACGAAGGAGGTTGTTCCCCAATCAGAGCTTGCCTCTGCAGGGGTCCTAGCGGATTCATATGCTTAGGTTAGCTGCGTCGCCGATTTCGGCGGCACGCCCGGGTGCCCGGGTGCCCGGGTGCCCAGGTGCCCGGATGCCGGGGTCCCCAGGAGCTGCGTCGCCGGTTTCGGCGGCCCGCCTGGGTGTCCGGGTGCCCGGGTGCCCAGGTGCCCCATAGCCCTATAGCCCTATAGCCCTATAGCACTATAGCCTTATAGCCCCAGAACCCTATAGCCCTATAGCCCTATAGCCCTATAGCCCTATAACCCTATAGCCCTATAGCCCTATAGCCCCATAGCCCTATAGCCCTATAGCCCTACAGCCCTGTACCCCTATAGCCCTATAGCCCTATAGCCCTATAGCCCTATGGCACTATAGCCCTACAGCCCAATAGCCCAATAGCCCTATACCCCTGTAGCCCTATAGCCCTATAGCCCTATAGCCCTATAGCCCTATAACCCTATAGGCCTTTAGCTCTATTGCCCTATAGCTCTATGGCCCTATAGCCCTGTAGCCCCATAGCCCTGCCCTATAGTCCTAACGCTATAACCCTATAGCCATATAGCGCCCCATAGCCCCATAGCCATATAGTCCCATAACCCAAATAGCCCTATAGTCACATAGCCCTATAGCCCTGTACCCCTAAAGTCTCAGCCCAATAGCCCAATAGCCCTATAGTCACATAGCCCAATAGCCCTATAGCCCTATAGTCCTAGCCCAATAGCCCAATAGCCCTATAGCCCTATTCCCCAATTGCCCTGTAGCCTAGCTCTATAGCCGTATAGCCCCCATAGTTTTACAGCCAATCGGCCTAGCAGACCTGACATATCTCATAGACATCGTCGTCGTTCAGGAGGCGCAACATCACATCATGTCCTGTCAAAAGAACAAACGCTCTGATGGTTTTCTCTCTGATATCATTTAGTTTGTTCTTATCCCAGCTATTGTTGACTCTGACTGGGATTCTCTGGTGATTCGCCCTCCCAGGCGGTCGGCGTGCTAGGGGATGGCTTCCCTTGTTGCACACCGCCTGGGGTTCAGCGGCTTGCTACTCTGGTCAATAGTGGTGGTGCCCTCCCAGGCGGCCGGCGTGCCAAGGGCTTTTTGTCCCCTAGTGGCACACCGCCTGGGGCTCAGCGGCTACTACATCGTGGGCTTCAATTTCGGGGAACCTGAGGGTGCTGGGTATCACGTCATCGTCTTTCCGGTGCTGGCCCTTTCACTCAATAATGGTGAAGAGCGCGGCCATATTTATCCCTCGGTTTCGTCTTCAATGCCCACTTTGGTACACATATTCCTTTGTCAGTGTATTTCAATGTTCGCTTCAGCTTTGTCTGTTAATGGGAGTGTTAGTATAACGGTCGCAGCTTTCTGAATTCAGTTCTGGGTAAGACGGGCGTCGTCAGCATTGCCTTCGTTCTACATTGCTTCGCATTCGGGGGGAGCTACCAGACGGCTTGATGATGCACCAGTAATGTGGTGAAATTGTGTTCGAGGTTGTCCTTCCCGCAAGCATCGTTGCTTCAGGTCTCCGTGGCCATCGTCCACTGAGCTCGGGGAGGCGAGAGGTTTCGTTTAGGAAAACGTCCTAGGAATCTTACTCTTACTCTTACTCCACCTCCTCCTCCTCGTCTTCCTCCACCTCATTATCCCCTTCCTCTCCCCCTCCCTGCACCCCACTCCCCTTACTCCTCCTCCTCCTCCTCCTCCTTCTCCTCCTCCTCCATTCCTTTTCCTTATGAAGAACTTCTCCCTGTTGCACCCCGAAGCCAGTTTTTAGGGTGGGCCAGGCGTTTCGCCTGAGACTTCCTCACAACTTATGACTCTGAAACTTGAAAATGGCAACAGCTTCACAGATGAAGGGCGGGCCGTTTTCAAAATGTGGCTCTCGCCTTAGCGCCGCGCGCACTCATTCTACAAAAATCAAGAGCTTCACGGATTGAGGG